GGTTTTGAGCCTGGGCGTCCCCAAGTCGGTGACGGTGATGGTGATGTTGTACTCGGCTCTGCTCTCTCTATCCAGTGCTTTTTCAGAAACTAGAGTGAAAAAATTCTTGAAGGTCGGTTTCAGGAGAAAAGGGAGATCATCTCGAATAGAGCAAACAGTCTTCCCATTGTCCCCAGAGTCTTGGTCTCGAACACTAAAGAGAGCGACTAGGGTCTCTGAGGCGTTCTCTGGAATTGTCTTTGTAATTGACGACATGGTCACTTCTGGTGGGTTGTCGTTTATATCTATTACTTTAATTAGAAGGATGCATTTTTCTGAAAGACCCCCACCATCTGTTGCCTGAATATTTATACTGTAGGACTGTATTACTTCAAAATCCAGATGTGATCTCAAATTAACTTCCCCAGATATTGGACTGATTTCAAATGTTTTACGAATATCTTCCGATGCGTGGAAAAATGTGTAAGATATTTTCCCATAATTTCCTCCATCCAAATCCTTAGCAGAGATGGTGATAATCCAGGAGTCAAGGGGTGTATCCTCTGGGACCTGAACCTCATAGAAACTCTGAGCAAACTCTGGGGCATTATCATTGATGTCTAAGACCTTGATGAGAACTAAAGTTGTCCCAGACCTAGGTGGGGATCCACCATCCAGGGCTGTGAGTGTTAACCTGAGCTCAGAATGCTCCTCGTGATCTAATGCTCTTTCCAAGACGAGTTCTGGGTATATTTTTCCATCACTGCTGTCTCGAATTTTAATACAGAAATGAGAATTGAGGCTAATCGTGTAGTTTTGGAGACTGTTGCTTCCTACATCCAAATCTTGAGCACTCTCCATTAGGAAAGTAGTTCCGATCGTGGTACTTTCTGATATTTTAATAAGCATTTCCTCGTCTAGGAATGTAGGGGAATGGTCATTTATATCTTTGACAAGCAGTTCAGCCCGAAAAAACTGTAAAGGGTTTTCCAATACAACCTGAAAATGCAGCACACAGGGCTCGGTGGAGCCGCACAGCTGTTCTCGGTCCAGTTTCTCATTTAGGAGCAAATCCCCCGTTAGTAAATCAAGGTGCAAATGTTTTCCATCATCAGACACTACCCGAGCCTCCCGTGAGGACAGCTCCTCTACTCCCAGCCCCAGGTCCGCTGCCAGGTTAGCCACAAAAGACCCAATTTCTGTTTCTTCTGCCACAAAATAGCGCGCAGATTCAGTACTCGCCTGAGACATTCCCAGCAAAACAAAGAAAATTAGTACTTGCCTTCTCCGCAGAGCGAGCACCCCTCTGACCTCCATGCTTCCTTCAGGCAACCTCTTTTGTGGAAAAAATTAAGTTCAGTCCTAATTTTCAAGCTGAAACTCTGATTTTTTTTTTTTATAGGAACCCGCCAGAGAGTATATTGTCCTCCAGCAGCTCTGCAGGCCAAGCTCCTTTAATACCTCTCTTTTCAGTGGATCGGATGTTCTCTGTTCTCCTGGGTGATGGAGCTCACAGTGTCGCCCATGCCATGTTCTAGTCTTATCCTGTAGCGCCACCATGTGTCTCTATGAATTTTTTTCATTTAAAATATTTTCCTCTTTGAAAAAGTAATTCGTGCCTATATACGAAGTATTCAAAAGCAAATCCCAGGTGTCATATATTTTTACCTCTACATACTTCACTAAGTATCTCTAAAGATAAAGCCTCTTAAAATATAATTACAACATCACTATCAATAAATTTAGCAGTAATTACTTGATGTAATTTTTTTTTATTGGTGCCTGGCCAGTAACAGGGATTGAACCCTGGACCTTAGTGTCATCAAGACCAGTTCTAACTAACTGAACTACCCAGCCAGTCCCCTTACTTGATGTAATTTATATTCAGTTTGTGTTTGGTTTTCCTTAATTCTCTCCAGAATGGCTTTTGCTGTTTTTGAATCAGAATCCAAACAAGCTTCACACACTGTATTTAATTATCACTGTTTGGTTCACCATGCCAGCCAGCAGCACCCCCCACCCCCAAAAAACCAATTATTTACTTGGCACAAAAGAAAAAAATGGAATACTTGACACAAAAGAATCTGTTAAAATGTCCTAAGGAAATAATATTTTATTCAGGTCATTTCTTGAGTAATTACAAATATATTTTCTCCTCTCCTCTTGTAAATATTTCTTGTGCTCAATTATAGTTAGTAAAACAATCACTTTTTCACTTTTATATTAAAAAATAAGGTAGAGACAATCTTTATCTTTATGGAACTCACAGGCTAGAAAAATTGACAGACAAGTAATTAAAATATGTCATAATGTATGCATAGGTAAAGAGTAATAGAAAAGGGACACCTAGAAGAGGTATCTTGTACCTAGGAGCTTGCATAGCTTAGTGATTAAGAACATGAGTTCTGGAACCAAATGTCAATATTAAAATCCTGGTACTGCCACTCACTATCTACAGACTTGGGCAAGTTATGTACCTCTGTTTTCCCACCTGTAAAATAGGGTAATAATAGTATTTACCTCCTAGGATTATTATTGAAGGAATCTAATGCATTAATATTTATAAAGTGGTTAATAAGTTCTAGTTAAATGTCCGTTAAATAATAAAATAATTAGGCTGGCTGATTAGCTCAACTGGTTAGAGCAGTGGTACTAATAATACCAAGGTCCGGGGTTTGATCCCTGTACTGGCCAGCTGCCAAAAAATAAAGTAAAATAATTAAAATCTAACCCAGACCTTGGGACAATAGCAAAAGCTTTGCTAAGGTAGTGAACTATACCTTGGGATCTGAAGGAGCAAGCCAGAAGAAGGAGGAATGTTTCAGACAGTCGGTTTGAGGAACAGAGGTGTTAGGTATGCCTTGGACTTTAAACCATGGAAAGAGAGAATTTTAAAATGAGATTAGAGAAAAAAGCAGGGTGAGAACATGAATGATTATATATGTCATATCATTCTTGAATTTATCCTAAGGGTAATTCAAATACAATGTAGTATTTTAAAGATTTGATTAACATGTCCACATTGCACTTTTGAAAAATCAGTTTGGTTGAAGTATGGAGAATTAATTTCAGGGGAATGACCAGAATCAGAGAGGCCAGATAGGAGATGATGATAGCGTGGATGAGGGTAATGCCAGTGTGGATGGCGAATAGAGGGATATTAGAAACATATTTAGGAGATAAAATATTTGATTGGTGATTGATAGGTTGCATGGGGAGAAAAGAGAAACGACTCGAGGATGATTATTATACCTCTGGACTGGGCAACTGGATGGCTAGTAGTGTCATTAACTAAGACAGGAAACACTGAAAAAAAAACCATTATTGAGGTGAAAAAAGATGGTATTTAGTCTTGGACATGCTGATATTGAGATAAGCGCCTACAGGGTGTGTGTGTGGGAGGGGGGTTGGCGGTGTATGTGTATGTGTGTACATATATAACCAAAGCATAGGAAAAAATCTGGACTGGAGTTATGGACTTTGGGATTCATCAGCCTGTATATGGTGATTAAAATCATGAGAGCTGTAGGTTAACCCAGCGAAAGTGTGTCAAGTAATAATAGAAGAAGCTCAGTACAGAATTCTGAGAAACACCTTCATTTCAAGAAGAATGGGAGAGAAGTATGTTTTAAAAGACAGGTTAGGCTCAGAGTTCAAAATTATGAAACCAAAAGCAAATAGCAATTAGAGGAGTTGAGGAAGAGCAACAGCGGCAAATGCTTCAGAGAAGAAAAAAAAAAGTATTAAGATGATCTATTGTATTTAAGAAGATGTTCATTGTGGGGGACTCTGATAGATGTCTACTAAAGTCTGTTTTCCCTTTTTTTCTGTAGTAATAGAACTGTACCCAGGTACCTGGCTACTCAGATAGATTGCCTGTCCCAGCCTCCTTTGTAGTTAGGTGTGGCTAAGTGAATTAAATTCTTATAGACTGTGAGCAGAATTTTTGTTCGCCATTTTTGTTTGCCATTCCTGTTCTGGAACAGAAGACACCTGAATATACACCTTCCCTCCCAGTTAGCTAGAACCCAAATGTGGTGGTGACTCAGCTACAGATATGCAGATGACAACATTGTCATAAGGAATGTTGGAGCAATTACTTGGGAAAAAAATTTAGTTCTAGAAGGACTGTGAGGAGCAAACTTACCCTATCTACCTAATCATTTACATTGGACCTGTCACATGAAGGAGATCTACAATTTTACAACCCATTGTGTAGTTGCATCTCTGTTTCAGCAATATAACCTCACTTACATAGAAGAAATCTTTGGTTACCTTTACAACAGCAGTTTCAATGGAGCAGTTGCAATAAAAATTAGATTGTGCTTGGTTGAAAAGTGAGAAGGATGAGGAAGCAAAAATGAGGAGAGACAATGCTTTCAATAAATTTGTAGAAATAAAAGGCTGTAAGAGGAGGAAATAGATTGGTATCTGAGAATGTAGACTCAAAAGGGTCCTTTTTAAGACTAGAGAAACCTGAATATATTTAAAATGTCAATGTGGAATATTTAGTAGAGAAGGAGAAAATTAAGATACAGAAGAGATGATCAATGTGAGTCCTGTAGAAGGTGGTTAAAGGTGGGATCCAGGCAATATATGATGGGATTGGACTTCAGCAGGAAGAAAGTATAGGTACGGATGCTGTGAAAGGTGTAGATTTGGGAACAGGAAATTGAGATAATTTCTATCTGATATTCTATATTCTCTTTAAGGTATTAGGCAAGTTCATCTGCTAAAGGGGTGGAGGGATGTAAGCAGTAGGGTGAGAAGTTTAAAGTAAGATAAGTAGGTTTTAAATAGTTATGCAGAATAGAAGAGAAAGCTGATTAGGAAAAGTTTAAAAGTATTTCTTGGTCTCAGAGATCAAAAGTTTAGATATGATAAATTTATAGTGGCAGTGGTATTGATAATTTTGTTAAGTATTGCCTTGTAGAATGCAGTAGCCCAGGTGTAAGAGAGGAGGAAGGAAGTGGAATTTCATCAGGTAGTTCTAGTGAAAAAAAATTGAACAAGGGAATGGAAGAGATGAACATGAGAGTGGTTGGGAGTGTAAACCAGGGAATCAGATGGACAGGAAGAAAATTAAAATGGGAAGGGGTTGGGAGGTAGTAGCAGCAGCATAGAGTGGAGGTCTTGATAAGGTCAAAGGCAAGATGTAATAGGATTAGAGGATTAAAGGCATAGGTTGTGTTCTTCAGAGGGAGATATTTGAAATATTATATCATAGAACAGTTGGTGGTGAAAAAGTACAGCATATAGCTAGAGCATTAATCATGGTACAACAAGAGTAGAAGTGAAGACCTAGGGACTGAGAGGCCATGTTGTTAGAATAATCAGTAGACTCAGGAATGATGGCAGGACTTGAGGTGGAAAAGAAGGTGAGGAGTGGGGGCAGGGGGTAGGAGGAAAAGTGGTGGACGAATGGGTAAAGAGCTGTGCTATCTACCCTAAGAGAATCATTGTGCAATATATGCAGGTATTGAAAGAATGCACTGTACCCCACAAATATGTACAAGTAAATGTAAAAACATTTTGAATAAAAAAATGAAAGAAGATGCGAACAATGTATTTGTACGTTAAATGTCTTTATGCTATTTCCTTCTGATACTCTTGGATAATTTCAAACTAAACTATTATTTGGTTTTTACTGGTAAGGGTTTTCATGAAAAACCATTCTGGAAGACTAGATCATTTCTTGAATCTTCATTTCCTCAGTGGCCTTTTCCCCATTGGATATAAGACCATCTTCTTAACTACTTACAACCTATAGTCCTTTAGTGTAAAATTAGTTTGGTGCAGCTTGATTTCTATGCAGTGGTTTAAATTTAGCTATAAATGAAATATTTAAAGCATAAGAGAAAAATTTGGTTTTAGCAATACACTTTAGAGGAGTTGGTTGATTACTTGTATCTGAGCATATGAGCTCCTGAAGGCCTAGCCACTCTCCATTAGAGTGAGGAAACACATATTCTTTCCATAAATAGAGAAGTCCTACTGCTCATATATGCAGAAAAACTTAAGCAACAGGACAAGTTTCTGTTTCTTGTCTCTGCTGTTGCATCTGTTAGATTTTTCTGTCTGAGATTTGTGAACTGTTCTTTCCACTTCCACCATTATAGATGAAAGAAGACCCAGATTTCTTGGAACTACAGGCTGTTAGAACTGCTTCACCTTTATTTTAACAGGTTTATTGAGATATCACTTACATATCATGGAATTCACCCAGTTAAAGTGTAAAATTCAATAATTTTTATATATTTATAGAGTTGTGCAATTATCACCATAACCTAATTTTACAACTTCCATGATCTTAAAAAGAAACCTGTACCAATTAGCAAACACTCTTCACCCTCCCTCCAGAACTAGACAACCACTAATCTGCTTTTTGTTTCTATAGATTTACCTATTCTTACTGTTACATATGAATGAAGTCATGCAATATGTAATCTTTTGTGAGAGGCTTCTTTCACTTAACATAACATTTTTGAGGTTCGTCCATGTTGTAGAGTGCACCAGTATTTCATTCCATTTTATTGCTGAATAATAACAATCCCATTATATGTAGATATCACATTTTTATTTATCCATTCGTTAGTGAATGGACATTTGGGTTGT